CATGCAAATCGAATCTCTTTATTGCGAACGCGTGACAAAAGGACAATCCAACGATAAACACATAACAAGCCGTTTCGTGGTGCAAAATCATAGATCGTGGAGCAAATGAAAAGAAGTGAATACAAAGTTGAAAATAAAACGTGTGTTGTGAACGGGCAGGTGCTCGGTGTTGGTGATATGGTCGACTGTACCGATCGTGAGTTGCGCACGGGCAGAGTGTGGCCGGAGTCCGAGGCGGCCGGCTCGCCGTCAGCGGCGTCGCGCGCGAACCCGCCCTCGTCCGAAGAAGACCCCGACGGATCCTTGCAGCCCCATGACAAACAATCACGTGCCAATCAGACAGTACACAGTGCGAATGAACACTTACTGAACGAGCCGCAGCCTCATCATCACAAGTCATGTCACTAGATTAAACTTACGATCGCGGACGATCGAGCTGTCTGTCTACTGAGAATGGAAAGTGAAACTGGAGTGTTGAATCTAGTGTCTGTGTGAAAAATCGATGCGCCTGGTGTCCGGCGGCGTGCGTCAGACGTACCCATACAAGTTGGAAGGTCATTCAGCCATCTATCATAACCTGGGGGCCATTCGCCTAACGGAAATGCTTTGGAAAACGCTAACGCTTACGATTTTATTTTGTTATTTCTAGCCGCCTGAGGTTTTCAAATGCCTCGCGCTCTTATTTTTTCTTTTGCATTGGTAATAACAATATTAAAGAAAATGAGCGTAAGGTATTTGGAAAACCTTCGGCGGTCAGAAATAACAAAATAAAATCGAAAGCGTTAGCGTTTTCCAAAGCATTTCCGTTAGGCGAATGGCCCCCTGAACGCCGGCACCCGCTGGCCGGTGCGGCGGCGAGCGTGTTTACTAACAATACTTCCTAACAATCTGTAATTGAAGCTAATTCATTTCTACGATTCATCCGATTCATCTAATGCATGGCTATTCGTGTACGAAGTAAACAAACTAGACATCGTGTTGGCTGAGATAGCGTGGGTGTGAAAAATATAGCGTTGCCTCGGTAACGGGGGTGCGATTCTGAACTAAACTATGCATTTGCACAAGCTATGATCGCTACGTGTGCGAGATGCGAATGATCACCTGCCAGCTGATGATGTATGGGAACATTTCTACATTGTCTCTGGTGATTGTGCGACCGCGGCGCGACACCGGCTCAACGACGAGTTCCGTTCATTCATCGACAGATCGGTTTTCACTTTAGATTTCACAGCCGCTCTTCGTGTCCCCGTTAATAAACAATGCTAAGTAACCGAGATCGAAATGAACATGTTTGCAATTGATATTTTAAAAGTGAGTAGGTACCAGAGATTCATGTGTCGGGAACACATTCGCCTATCGCGGATATAACTGTCCAACTGTGGTTCGGTGTCGATTAGCAACGTGCTTCGCGACCCAAACAATGAGAGTGATCGCGGCTTGGTACGCGGTTCAAAACCCTTTGGTTAATCGATAAACTCAACTGAAGCTTCCGCTGGATGCTATCGCGAAACTAAAGCACCTCGGCCGCTTACTGATATGCAAACATGTTTATAGGCGTAAGCGAACAAAACCGCACATTTATGCTTTTAGTGTAATGGGGTCAATTCGATTTTGTCATTTGACTAATATGAGAAACACCCCGATTTTGTCATTTGACTAATATGGTAATCACTTGCGTAGTAAAATGGCGGACGCCTCGAGTTAATTAAGTGTCCAAAGCAAGGCTGCATAACTACCGGGGGGCCATTCGCCTAACGGAAATGCTTTGGAAAACGCTAACGCTTTCGATTTTTTTTCTTATTTCTGACCGCCGAAGGTTTTCAAATACCTGACGCTCATGTTTTTTAATATTGTTATTACCAATGCAAAAGAAAAAAAAAGAGAGCGAGGCATTTGAAAACCTCAGGCGGGTAGAAATAACAAAATGAAATCGTAAGCGTTAGCGTTTTCCAAAACGTTTCCGTTAGGCGAATGGTCCCCAGATTTTTTTAAGTAATAATGAACCTTTTGTGATAGCAATCACAATTATATTGTGTAACGCTGTTCAGAAATACTTTGGTAAAAAGCTGCAAAAAGCTCTTGTCTCACCGCATTACAAAGGCATGAATTAAATGTAAGTTGTCTTTGTAATGTTTCGTTATTTCAATTATTAAAATGTATACTACAAGCGAGTGAGCATTAGTTGAATGAATGTTGACCTTCGCTTCATTAATGAAATGATACATTAATTTGTAGGAATTTTGCCTTGCGCTTTAGTTCATTTGTGATAAAAAATTACTAACACTCGTGATTTCAAAAGTACCTTATTTAATTCAAGTAAAACCGGATAATCCATCTATTTTCAGTATCGGAAAAATGCCTAAAGACGAAAGTCTTCAATCAGTGCGTCCTACCTGTGATGACATACGGAGCCGAGACGTCGACACTGACGGTACGATTGGTCCACAGGTTCAAAGTCGCTCAGCGCGCTATGGAAAGGGCTATGCTCGGCGTTTCTCTGAAGGATCGCTACAGAAATGAGGTAATCCGACAGAGAACCAGAGTTATCGACATAGCCCACCGGATTAGCAAGTTGAAGTGGCAGTGGGCTGGCCATATTTGCCGAAGAACCGATAACCGTTGGGGTAGACGAGTTCTGGAGTGGAGACCGCGTCTAGGCAGACGAAGTGTAGGACGTCCTCAGGCACGATGGAGTGACGATTTGCGCAAGGTGGCTGGCAGGAGCTGGATGCGAGTAGCCCAAGATCGATCTGAGTGGCGTGCATTTGGAGAGGCCTATGTCCAGCAGTGGACTAAGATAGGCTGTTGATGATGATGATGAGACGTAAATATCTTTCACGGCCAAGTGCGTTTCGGGATCAGACACCAAGGGTTCCGTAGTCAGTATCAACGATCATGGTTAATTATTACGTTCAAATTATTCCGATTGTCAAGTTGTATTGGGAGTGTGAGCTCTACGGGGAGGCGCGTAGGGAACTTCTTGACAGTGTGAAGGTGCTCGAGGTTGGGCCGGTCTACTACCGCGGGCCTGTTGGGAACTTCAGACAGCTGCGGGACTTCGCGCGAAGATGCACTAGATTCGGAGTGCACTCGAAGGAGGCGTAGAAAGAAGACAGCGGGGCAATAGAAAAGGACTAGCATATGGAGGCCAGCGGTATCACTTCAGTTTTTAATCCAACACACCAATTAGCCTAACCCCAAAGTAAGCACTGTAAGGCTTGTGTTATGGGATACTAAGGTAACGGACAGAATATATATTTATATAGAAAAACATATTCATCACACAAACATCTACCCCCACCGGGATTCGAACCTGAGACCTCTCGAGTCGGCGGCACCATGCAACCCGGCGTACAAACCACTCGGCCACGGAGGTCGTTCATTATGGGTACGGGACGGCTGGGAAGCCGACGAAGGCGTTTCGTGTGTGTCCGGATCAGAAAGGGGAGAGAGACCATAAGGACAAGGAAAATAGACATACAATTATTTGTAGGGAGTCATGGAAGCACGCGCGGTGCAGGCCGTTCCGCGCATATCTCCTGCACACAAGCTGTTTCAGCCTGCATACCCAAGAGGGTTCGCAAGACCATAGGTGGTTGGTGGGATTAAGTTCTATAAAAAGTTATATTACTGTGGCGCTGCCTTGCAGCTTAAGGCTAGAAAATTTCAACGCGACCATCAGGGCCGTGGTAGCATAATTGGTCAGTGCATTCGCCCGGATTGCGAAGGGTGCGGGTTCGAGTCCCGTCCGCTGCCTGGTCCGCGTGGATTTTTCTAGTAAAACTTTTCTTTAGATTCTATAAAAAGTATTAAAGAGGTACTAATACGAAATACCCTTTTGGAATGGAGCCCTGTGTTCCTTGCGGGAACTTGCCATAACCGGGTGATAAAGAAAAAGAGCCTTCTTTACTCCATTCCCTTTATTAGAGCAAAACCGTCCATTCTAAGAGAAAAAATTTAAAAATTACTTTTTTTTGAAGTTTTATTGCTATTAAAGACTATAAGCGCAACACAAAATTCCTTTAAGACTAAATCCTCAAGGACCTCAATCCTGTTAGTTTTAACTTAACAAATTTGATTCATAGATCGTGCACCTGAATATACTCTCTCAGAAAATTGGTACCATAAATATTATGACCCACTTTTATTACGCAAACGATTTAAATACTGCAGACTTAAGAAGAATAAAATACTGTAGGAATGTAAGCATTTCGCAAATCAAGTATCTATTTTCTGTGTCTGTCTAGATTGAAAACATAATTTGATTGGTTTCGTTTCGTGACAAAATGTGAAATACTTACAGACCTATTTTATACTCAGAGACCTAGCTAGTAGCAAGAACTAAGCTATGTTAGTTTAGCTTTGTTTAGATAGCTTAGCTGCGCATACTGCAAACTTTGTGAAGTAACCTTCGAAATTACCTACCTAAGTTTAATTTCAGCTTCAGAAGACGGCTCTAATATACAAACTCAAGCAAATTACCCTAACTTAGGTCTTGTCCCTATAGCATGAGAACTACCAAAAGTTATATGTCGAATTATTGAGATCCGACTGTCAATATACAATGGATGGGTTCATATTATTATTGTGTTGGATTATTCATAGTCATCTGTACCACGCTTTTAGTTAGGTTCAGAGTACTAGACGCGCATAAGTGTATTAGAGACTCGCTCTAGCCAGTTTAATGTTGGAGTGATCATACACTACAGTGACTACTATTTATCTGTATGTCGCTTTAAGTTAAGATTCAGAGTACCAGGCACGCTTAAGAGCGTAGGAGACTCAATCTAGCCAGTTTGATGTTGGAGTGATCACGCTATAGGGACTAGTATTGATCTGTATGTCGCTTAAAGTTAGATTCAGAGTACCAGGCACGCATAAGTGCTCAGGAGACTCAGTCTAGCCAGTTTGATGTTGGAGTGATCATGCTACAGCGTTTGATCTCTTGCTTAAAGTTAGGTTGCGAGTACCAGGCACGCATAATTACGTAGGAGACTCACTCTAGCCAGTTTATTGGGCATCGGCTGCAGGTGCGGCGTATGGTGGCGCGGCCCCACCAGCTCGGGGTTGAGCGCCAAGATGGCGTCGATCTCCACCTCCTTGCCCTTGGTCTCGCCGCGCTCGTACCACTCCACGGTGACGGAGCGTGTCTCATGGTTCACGCCGGACACTATCGCCGTGTGGATCCGCCCTGGAAACCATTAAAATGCATGCATATAAGATTGTACTAAAGGTTCATTACGTATTATATAACTAGAGGATCCGACATACGCTGTCATGATCTATAGAAATTAGAGATGGGCCGACTATTCTGCAATGCCGATCATTCTAATACCTATCTTGGGAAAATATTCACGTTCCAACATCACAATTTGCCTTTATAGTATAATTTCTTTACCTATGGACTTCATTAAGACTCGCTAGCACTTAAGATTTTATTCAACTAATACATACTTACTTCCCATTGCTATTTTGTTGTTCGATATTCATTGTGTTAACTTAACTGAATTACTGACAGATTCCTAAGTTCCTAATTCTTATTGTACCTTTTTTTTAAATATTTTAAGACTGTAGGTAACTTTAAATACACTGTACGACTGTACTGTTCAAATATTCAAAAGAAGCATAAATTTTAAGTTTTATTTCATTGTTATGTGCCAATTATAATCAGCATATTTTGCCGAATAGTCGTCTTTCCCGACTAGTCAGTGGCTAGTCGGCCCATCTCTAATAGAAATATAAAGCAATTCTAGAACCTAAATGCAACACAAAATTTCATTAATATAATCTAGCCGTTTAGTAAGAGTTCAATTAAATACACACGGAAGTTTTGACGTATCTTATTGTTGCTTTCAAGACTTTTAAGAATGTAAGACATCAACTTTAAAAATAAGGTGACGTTCCATATTACTTAAGAGAATGTATATCAACGTAGGCAGTTTTTTTTTAATAATAAAATAATTTAGTTTCCTTAAACGTTTTAAAATAAAGGTTGTGGCGATGGTATGATTCTACCAAATTTAGTTTAAGTAATAATAACTATAATATAAGTACGAGGACGACCTGCCTGAAAGTGAACAGCCAGACAAAAAGGGTGCAGAATAATATTGGATGAAATAATGTGCAGGGAGAATATGCTGTCTGGTAGGTTCGGCTAGACACATAAAGCCGAAGTGTATATAAATACAATACACACTATGCCTCTAACAATACAACGTACAGATAAGAATAAAGAGAAATGCAGTCACAACAATCTCTTGGATTGAAATTAGAAAATAGTCATTTTGTAATTTCGTAAAAATTGCAGTACCTCCCTAAGTCTTTATTTATATAAACATATATTTTTCTAGCGATATAGCCTTCATATTCAGTCGCTACAATACTTTGGAATGTAATATTTATAAATCTAGCAGTTTAATGATTAAAAATACAAATATAACAAATTATGTAATGATACATTTTAAGAAGAATAACTAACATAATATTTTAAACATTTCATAAGCATCTTTGAACTTACAAACAATTTACCGAAGATGTCTACACTACAAATATCCCTATAAGGCTCAACCAGAGGGACTTTTCTACGAACAGCAGCTACAAACTAAAGATGTAGAATTAATTCTTAATCGAACTGCCCGTTATTGTAACAAAAAACGATCACACGAACAACAGAACACAACAATCGGAAAAGAAAACAAAGTTAAAAATAAACTAATAACAACGGTGGTCACTGACTGCAACCATCCGTGCGCATAACTAAACAAACATTATACAACTATAAATACAACACCCAACAGATCATTTCTACAACTTCTTTGAATCATAGGACAAACTCTTCTGGCAGCGATGCAAGAAAACGGTAAATATTGACAAAAAATTGTGTGTGTCAGCTCCGACGCACGACTGGAGTTTACTCCTTAAGTTCGATAGTCTAACCAGACGCAAAAAGAGTTTATTTAACTTAAAAAAGATTGATACTGTATGAAAGAGTAAATTAACAAATTAATGAAAATAATATACATATATATTTATTCATTTCATATACATTTATTATAACTAATCGACGAATTATTTTACATTAAACTTTTTACAATAGTCAATTTCAGATGTGCATAAATATATCATTAGGAATGTTGATAAATTATGTAATTATTATTATTATCAGACTATTATCATTTTTTTAAATATTAATTAAATCAACATTCTGCATTATTAATTACAGTGACAAGTGGTTTATGGTAACTAAAATAAGGCACATGGACGTTCGTAGATACGTGGTTCACGAATCTTGAAAATACCGCATCGATGGTTGTACCATACCTCGTTGTCCCCATTGCTCTATCAGAAACAATATCTAAATTCAGTTCAGATTTTAAAAATTTTATTAATGTCAATCCGTCATCTTTGTTTGTCAAAGTTGCGCGACATATAAAAACGTAACGAGGTCATTCATCGATAGATTTTACTCCTCACATTTTTCTCATACCGGGCCCCTTATATATGCAAATCGATTCTTATGGAGTTAACTTCAAAAAACGGACAAGTGCGAGTAGGTCTCGCCCACCGAGGGTTCCATACATAAACGGCCGTATCCTTTTTATGAAGAGCTCAATGGCGCAAGTGGTTAGCGCGTTCAGCTGCGATTGTTGAAGTTAAGCAACTCTCGCAGTGGTCGGTCATTGGATGGGTGACCAAAATTTTACTATCACGAGCTCCTCCGTGCTTCGGAAGGCACGTTAAGCCGTAGGTCCCGGCTGCATCTGCAGTTGTTAGCACCCATCAATCCGCACTGGGCCCGCGTGGTGGGTCATCACCCAATTTCCCTACTTCATCCATAGCAAAGCCTGTGCCCCACCAGGAGGGACATTAATAGGCTGATGATGATGATCCTGTTTAGGTTAACCTAGAAGTGTGATTTTTCCACTGTTTAAAAAACTGTAGGCCAGTGTATACGGTTTAGATTTCAACTCATTTTCTCCATGCATTCCCGAGATAAAGGGTCTTGACAGGCAGACAGATAAGCGGCCGTATCGTTTTTAGTTAACTTAGAACTTTGATTTTTTTACAGCTTCATGAGACCGTAGACTTCAGTTACGATTTAAACTTCAACTCGATACCTCCACGCGCTCCTTAGATAACCCTGACAGACAGACTGACAGACAGACAGACAGATGAACAACAATGTCGTTCTTTTCTTTGTTTTGTTTTTGAGATAGTAAACTCTAAAAACATTAATTAAACGGACCACTTGATCTTATTCGTAAGACATAATTCCCTTGACGACGAATACAACATGTGTTCCCTTGCATATTGATTCTATAAACTAAATAACATAAACATAGACAAAGTACATAAAAAAACACCTTTGTAATTTACACTTTTAACTTCAATAATGAAGTGTAAATTTCACGCAGTCAATATGAATCATCATCATACTTCAGAATACAATAATAGGCACCATTCAGTTAATGATACTGATTTCTGTGTGCCTAGTGCGAAGACCTCTTTGTGACGTCAATAATGGCGCGTTTAAAATAAATAACTACGCTTTATACACTGTTCATAAGAATATCAAATTAATAACATTTTACAAAAAAATCTATCTTGTTTAAAAGCTTCATTTCAAAACTTATTTTACGTGTAAAGTTGTGGAATGTAAAGACAATGCAGCAAGGTTTTTGGTGCTTATGGGAATTGCACGATGCAGAACACGAAACTAAATAAAGTTCATGGTGCATGAACGCCATTAAGTCTGCAAACTGCACCATAAGCAATAAAGGGCTTTTCACAATCAATTCTACTTATATCTTTCAAATTGTCTACAGTAGTTAAATTTAAATATCAGCTTTAATTCAATACGAGACCCAACCCAAAAAAGTCTCAAAATAATAGACCAATAAACGATTGTAATAATGAACTGTTTTCTTCCCGAAATACAGACCGGGTTAATGGAAATTCAAGTAATGTATCATACCGTTATTATTCGCTTGCCCTATAAAGAGGACAAGGATTCGTATAAAATATGTGTGATGTATTAAATCAAAACTATGATGCTATGAATACTTGGTGATATTTATCAAGTTCGCAAAACCTATACAAATGCTTCTCCTACATAAATCACCATGTGGAAAATTCGCATTGACTACCACACAATTTCAGCGGCGAACATTGTGATAAGTTCGAAAACCTCTTTGCACATGATTAATTGTAGCTGAAAATGAGCGTTTCTAGGAAAACATCCAGTCATCGGAACAATTTACATTGACGCGTGGATCACAATGTCGCACACATACTGTTCAGCGATATAATAGCTAAAACACGGAGGAATAACCTTGGGAGGATAAATGGGTTAATCCATACCAGTACTATACATTGCGAAAGTCACACTGATGTTTTTGGAATTATTAGGTTAGATTTTGGATAACCATAAAGGCTATCTTTTGTATCTAAAGTAAAAATTGAAGAATGTTAAATAAAGGGCGAAGTTTTTAACAAGAAGAAAGTTATTCTTAAAGAAAAAAAAGAGCGAGGGCACTATTTAGCTAGCTTTACATATAATATAATTTTAATCTGTATACTTTTTTTTATATTTCAGAACTATGACCAAGACAACGACTACAACCCTCCTGATATTAGTAGTTCAAGCGAAGTCCAGACTCGAAAATATCTGGAAGAAGGAAGAAAAAAATATGTGCGATAGAGTTCTCTGTTTGCGTGGGAATATAAATATCACTTAAAAGCCATTGTCATCAATATTATCATACTATAAATAGAAATCCAAATAAAGTATGGCGTTTCAATTCGCTTAAACTGAAATCAATATACAGTACGTAATATGCAGGCATCGAGGATATACCACCGTTACTATAGTTACCCGTTAACCCGAGCAAAAGTTTTGAAAAGAAACAGTCAAATAAAACTTAGACATTGATGTCGATTCTGGCATGATTCTCTAAAGCTAAACTTAAATTTAACAACAGTGCATCCTTGTCATTCTCTATGCAGATTGACAAGGAGAGACTGATGTTAAATTTAGTTTTAAGTTTAGAGAATCACGCCAGAATCGATACCATTATTACAAATCTATCGTCAATATAAGTGATCAATATAAACCATTAAATCAAATAACGATTAATGGTACTAGATACGCTACAATTAAAATTAACAAGTGGGTGGTATTATATTAACAAG